ATGTCCCGCCCCCCTTCCGGAATCCGTCCGGCGGCAGGGCTGGGTGTTTTGGCGCGGAGGTGCCCGGATGTAGGTAGGCGCCGGGGATGCTGGGAGAAGGGAGGCCGAGAGAGCCCGGGGAGCCCAAGGCTTCGTCCGTACCCCCGCGCTGGGGTGGAGGGGAGGCTGGGAACGCCGCTTAGAACGACGGTTAGGGCTTCCAAGGATGAAACGGGATTCAAAGATCATTAAAAACAGTCCAAGGGCTTCAGTGCTAAATACCATAATACATACATATGGAGTATCTTAGAACATAAATTCTGTGTATCTAAAATGTTGTGTCGCTCCCTTGCTCTTTTTTGCCCCTCAGGAGGACGGACGAGTCTGGAGGAGGAAGGAAGAGAAGCCGAGAGGAGCAGAGGGAGCCCTGCCTGGTGCAGGGCGCATCTCCCCCAGGAGACGGCGAGGAAAGGCGCGGGGCTGCGGAAAGATGATCCGGAGCCAAGAGGGACCCCGTGAGAGGAGAGTGCCTGGAAAGAGAGGCGGGAAGGAGGAAAAAGTCAAAATACCCGGAAAAGCCATGACGTGCCTGGAGTGTGGAGAATCCTTCAGAACACACAGAAGTCTCCAACGTCATCAAAGAATCCACTCAGGAGAGAAACCCTATAAATGCCTGGAGTGTGGAAAAGGTTTCAGTCAGTTAGGACATCTTGGCCAACATCAACGAATTCACACAGGAGAAAAACCGTATAAATGCCTGGAGTGTGGAAAATCCTTCATAACAAATGGACATCTCAAAAACCATCTAGGAGTTCACACTGGAGAAAAACCATATAGATGCACAGAGTGTGAAAAAAGTTTCAGTCATAGGGGAAGCCTTTATACACATCAAAGAATCCATTCAGGAGAGAAACCATGTAAATGCCTGGAGTGTGGGAAGAGCTTCATTAGAAATGACCATCTCAAAAGCCATGAAAGAATGCATTCAGGAGAGAAACCCTATAAATGCCTGGAGTGTGGAAAGAGCTTCGGTGAGAGGGGAAACCTTTATACGCATCAAAGAATCCATTCAGGAGAAAAACCTTATAAATGCCTGGAGTGTGGAAAGAGTTTCAGTCAGAGAGGGCACCTCAGGGTACATCAGAGATTTCACATGGGAGAGAAACCATATAAATGTATGGAGTGTGGAAAGAATTTCAGTCAGAGAGGACATCTCAGTCAACATCAAAGAATTCACACGGGAGAAAAACCATATAAATGCCTGGAGTGTGGAAAAAGCTTCAGTCTGAGGGGAAGCCTTTATACACATCAAAGAATCCATTCAGGAGAGAAACCTTACAAATGTCAGGAGTGTGGAAAGAGTTTCAATGAGAGGGGAAGCCTTTACACGCATGAAAGAATTCATTCAGGGGAGAAACCTTATAAATGCCTGGAGTGTGGAAAAAGCTTCAGTGAGAGGGCAAACCTTTATACGCATCAAAGAATCCATTCAGGAGAGAAACCATATAATTGCTTGGAGTGTGGAAAAAGTTTCACTCAGACAGGACATCTCAGGATACATCAAAGAATTCACACTGGAGAAAAACCATATGAATGTCTAGAGTGTGGAAGCAGGTTCCGTGAGAGGGGAAGTCTTTATAGACATCAAAGAATCCATTCAGGAGAGAAACCATATAAATGCTTGGAGTGTGGAAAGAGCTTTGCTGAGAGTGGAAACCTCCGTCTACATCAAAGAATTCACACGGGAGAAAAACCGTATAAATGCTTGGAGTGTGGAAAGAGCTTCAGTCACAGTGGAGGACTCAGTAAACATTATAAACGTCACGCAGAGAGGAAAGTTTTTAAATGCACCAAGTGTGAAAAGTCCTTCCAAACAAATGGAAATCTCCAAAACCATCTAAGAATCCACACAAGAGAAAAACCACATAAATGCCTGGAATGTGGAAAAAGCTTCCGTCAAAGTGGATATCTCAAAGTACATCAAAGAATCCACACAGGAGAGAAACTATATAAATGCATGGAGTGTGGAAAGGACTTCTATGTCCCAGGATATCTCAGAATACATCAAAGAATCCACACAGGAGAGAAACCCTATGAATGCCTGGAGTGTGGAAAATCCTTCATGACAAATGGAAATCTCAAAAATCATCTAGGAATTCACACTGGAGAAAAACCATATAAATGCATGGTTTGTGGAAAGAGTTTCAGTCGGAGAGAACCTCTCAGGATACATCAAAGAATTCACACAGGAGAGAAACCATATAAATGTATGGCGTGTGGAAAGAATTTCAGTCAGAGAGGCCACCTCAGTCAACATCAAACAATTCACACGGGAGAAAAACCATATAAATGCCTGGAGTGTGGAAGAAGCTTCAGTCGCAGGGGAAACTTTTATACACATCAAAGAATCCATTCAGGAGAGAAAAACCTATAAGTGGCTGGAGGATGGGCAGAGCTTTACTGTGGATGTACCTCTGTCGGTATCAAAGAAACCATTCAGGAGAGAAACCATATGAATTCCTGGAATGTGGAAAAATTGTCATAGAGGAGATCTCAGTCGACATTTATATGGGAGAAAAACCATGTAAATGGATAGAGCGTGGAGAAAGTGCTTCAGTAACCAGCAGTCAGTGCAGCCGTGGATGAAATGCACAAGGGTTTCTCAAGGGCTGAGAAACTCATTGGCTATCCATGCACAGACACAAATTACAATCCAATAAGGCACAGGTGTGGATACTCACCCTTCATTGCCATCTCAACCTATGCGTGTCAACTTGAGTGTATACTATATTATCACCCCAAACATTCAAGAGTATGCAAACTTGAACCATTTTACTACTGTATTTCCTTTATTGCTATGGTTTGATTAGTGATTGTGCTATTCTGTGATGCCTAACAGTTGAATTTAAATCCCATTACAAATTTTTTAAAAAGTGTTTTTTCTGATCACTCATGTTTTCTTACAAATTAGTCCACATCTTACAAATTCTGCAAGCGATATATAAACTTATGAGCACAACTGTATTCAGTTCCACATACTGATATCATCACAAAATTATTTAATCAATCATGAGAACAGTGTGGCTGTGAGTCATAAGTCATGTAGGCCATAACCGTTGCCTCAACTTCAGTGCTGCAGGAATACATTCCTTGCCTTGGGTACGAAAGAGCTTCTCCGTGGTAATTATTTCATATAATCTATGGGTTTTCAAAATGCCAATAGCATGTAGGACCATCCCCAGATATTTGAAACTCTAAACTTGCCATTTGGATTTCCTCCATGGTCCCACCGTTTTAGACTTTTTAGCAAAAACCACAAGAGACTGTCTAAGGCCAACTAAGGTTGTGGGATGATAGCCATGCCATGGGGATATAGGAGAAGAAGTGCACCTGGGCCCACAGATCGGGGCAGGTGTAACTTGGAGACAGATGACCATGTAGGTACAATTTAAATAATGTAAGGGCCGAAATACAGCCCTGTCAGACTCCTTTCTGAACAGGTATTGGTTAGCACATTGAGTTACATCTGACTCTTGACAGAATTTTCATACAAATGCTGAATGAGAAACTAAACATCCATCTGTGCTGTATTCTGCAAGCTTCTCTACAAGATTTCCCTCAAAATGGGATCAAATGGCGATTTAAAATCTACAAACGACACAGTAATGATGTCTATGCCATTTTGATTTACAGGAAAACGTTAAGTCATAAATCAAAAGCAAAGTGTCTGCCCTATGTGTTACTGGAATTTTAGGCTTCATTATTAGCATTTTAATAAAGGTGATATTAGCATTTTAACATGGCCTCCCTGCCTCCTGTTGAAGTTTAGGAGGCCATGTTTTTCCTTTGCACCGGGGCCATTTCTTTTGATGTACAAAAACTAGCCTTTTCAGAAACTAAACAACGGGCTGCATTCTGAAGTCCATGAATGTTGCAAGTGTTAAAGAAACAAATCCTAGTGGGAAAGGAGGAGATGCAACCTATTTTAAGGATGTCTGTCTTTTCTCACCTCTAATCAATGTCTTCTATTGTTTGATTTGTTGCTTTCTAACGCATCACATATATTGAAGGTATGTATCATTTGTTTCTGTACCCTGTATAAAGAATTGACTACCCCTTAATAAAATGATTTTTTGCTTTGCCTGAAGTACTTGTGGTTCATATCGGGGGGGGGAACGAAATTGGGGGACCCCATTGTCCAGGCTGAACCGGACCTGAAGGTGAGAGTCGATTAAGAGGGAATGTTGGTAGGAAAATTTCTGCCTGATCAGTAATTGTTGAAAAAGGACACACTTGGTGAGTAAAGGCTTTTCACCATGTAAATCCTCTTGAGATTTGTCAGACCAAGGGCAACAGAAAACCTTGGGTTTGGTAGGGGGGTGGTGATGGAAAGCCTGAGGGCCCTATTGATCCCCGATGGGAAAAGGGATGCAAATTGTAGACGCAAATTTGTATGGGTTCTGACCAGAGTAAAAATAGGAATGGAATAGGAATAGGAATGTGTCTTGAAAAACTTTTAGAGAGCTGAGTGGCAGAGATCCCCTGACAAAATCAAAGTTGATTTTTTGTGTGTGAGAAAATGTGTGGCCACAGTATCAGTTAGAGGACCAAGTAAAATGGCCACTGGAAGGAAGTTTGGACTATAATAACATTTTGCAACTAATGAAAGTGAGAGCTCTGAAAACAACTGCCTGCGGGGTTTGTGAAATCTTTTTCTTGGTGTTTTGTTTTGTTTTGGGGTTTTTTTGGTGGTTGGTCCATGTTCAGCTCAACCCCTCCCTTGGAGGAGTAGTTTCTAGAGGCACCAATTTTTGAGTGAGACTATTTTGCAATTGCAATTGTGTTGATGAATGAGTTAATGGGATGGATGGATGTATGTATAAATGTTTATGTCTTGTGGAGAAAGAGGGATAATGCAAAATGTAAATTGATTGTCCATAACAGCTAAAAGGCAAAAGAAAGTTTGCCTGAGGTTAGGGGGAAAAAAAAGGAGCAAGGACCCTATAGAATGCAATGCCTAGCTGACAAACATCTCCTAAATCCTCAGCCACAGATGATCCATCACTAACAAATAGTTAGGAGGGTGAGGGAAAAGGGGAAGGGGAAGAATGAATGTATTCCTTTCTCACCTCCCCACCTCCAAAACCAATGAGACCAACAGCTGGAGACATGATGCTTTTAAGACAGGCCTCCCCTCTTCCACGGGGACAGCCCTTTGGCATTTTTGTTTAGTCTTACGAGATGAAGATCCTGAGATTTTGTTTGGAGCAAAGAGGGAGGTCAGAAAGTGTTCTGAAGGAAAGGGGAAAATCCCAACTGATGTCTATGGATGGTAACGAATACAAATGATTTAGAAAGGGAGGCTGGGTGACCACAGCTCCCTCCCCCTCCATACCCCTGGTTGGAAAGAGAGGAAGTGAATTGTTATTTTGTGAATGTGCCTGGATGCCCATTGCCGGGGAGAGATTTGTTGTGCAAAATAAGAGTAGAAACCTGAGTTCAAAGTCATTTTGATGGGGGAAAAATAGAAGTGGAGAATGCCAGCAAGCTTCTCCTTGTTTTTTTTTAAGAGATGGAATCACTCTCTGGCTAGAAGCAAAAAGGTTTGCCAACAGGAATATGGACTACCAATTTAAGGACAGTTAGTGAGGTGGTCATCTCCCCCCTCCACCTCTGGCTGGCTTGCAACTCCTCAATTAAAATTTCAGGAATTTCCACTTCCTGCTCCACCGATTTATTTTTGTCTTCGAATGGGAAAATCCTAACAACAACAGCCCTACTCTGGAAACCTGAGGGTTCGTTTGGAAGGGTGATCCAACTTGAGCATATACAAGGCACACCATTTCCCTGCTAACTTTCTTGGGACAAGCTTTAGCTCAGATTCCCGCACCCAGACGCCAGCTGCAAGATGCCTGAGCTTTATCTTTATGGGCTACCCAGGGGAAAGACTCAGACTCCTCTGAATGTCCGCCAGATTGTAGCACAGCCTTTGAGCGGTTTAAACACAAGCTCTTGCCAGCCCCCTCCCCAACTCGGAGAAGAACGTTATCTGCATGACCAAGGGGGATGCAGCAGAAACTTGTCTTCCTGTTAAAGAAGCTGAGAAATTAACTTTGGGTCAGCCTTTAAGCCACACTCAGTGGTGACAATTTTTGAACAAGACAGTCACTGGATGACACCGAGTTGGATTGCATTTTATTTTAGTGCAGCGTGATTCACAGAAGCAGCAACGCAGGCTATGTCACTCAATGGGAAAAAGTAAAAAAAAAAGTAACCCTTTGCCCCCAGGAGCCTTTGCCCAGAGAGCGGAACTTCTGGCTTCGGTCCAAGCTCTCCAGTTGGAGAGATTTTTGTATGCATGAGGCACTGTGGAACAAGCAAGGACTGTTCACAGCAATTGGAACTGAAATCAAATAAACCCCAGCCATGTTAATTTTGTTGGGAGTTGTATACTTTCTTGCACAGGTGGCTGTCGCAGCCCACAAAGCCCATCAAAAGGAACAGATCCTATTTCCCAAGGGAACTGAAGAGTGGGTGTGGCAGCAGAATGGGCCACCCTAATGGATTTTAGAGGAAAGATGCCACCTTACTGGAGCTCCCTTAACTTTAGGTTGGGGAGCATCTGGAGATGAGGATGGTTGTTGGATCATGCCCTATGGGGAGACTGTGCCCAGAACATGCCTCCCTCAAGCTATTAGTGACTTTTATCAATCCACTTCCC